GAATTATACGCCAATTATCGTTTCTTTCCCTTTTTCTAACATCATTCAGCATTTCTGGTCTAGTCTACCCACTGATTATTAAAATGAGACTCCTTGACTCACAGAGGAATAAAGATAAATATGGATGTCTATGGATGCACTATCTGGATTTCGTTTTTAGTGATAAGCTTATTGGCATCAGGGAACGAAAATCGAATCTATGCGCACTTGCAGCAAATCCAGAACTAAACGAAATCACCGATTTATTTTTTCACATGTTTAAAATAATTTTTAGCAGAAATATGAAAAAAATAATTCACTTTGAAAATCATCAAGAAACATAGAATATTAAAGATTCGAAATTTTTTAGAATTCATTTTTTATTACTTAAATTAAATCAAAAAATGTAAAGGCTTAAGTGGAAGAAAAACAACTCCTAAATGGGGATTTTTTCGAAACTAATGCTACTATTAAAATAAGATAGCCGAGTGGATAAATTATCATGTTGAGATGCAAAGGTTCCGATTTCACCACCGACATGCGTATACGTCGTGTAATAAAAAATCGGCATGTTGCTGCCGATCAATCCGTTCTATCGCCAACTGCCTTAATGGTTAATGGTTAGCCACCTAGTAAATGCTTCTAATTGTAAATTTTTGGTAAAAATTTCTTACCAAACAGCTAATCTAACCACCAACTTTACTAATATCGACCAAAGGTCTTTAAAAATAAGGAATTTCCTATGAATACTGTTTTAAAAATATTTTAATATTTTAAATATTCATGAAAATGTAAATTTTCTACCTGTTATTCAGTGATTTTCTGTTGATTTATTCATTTGATGGCTTTTATCCAGTCAATGCGAATTCGATTCCTTCATTGAGAACCATTACTTTGTTTTCTCTTGTTAGAAAGGAATCAAACTTTCAACACGGTAATCTGAATCAGAAGGCAGGATAGGCGACTTATTTGTGTGGCGATCTGAGAGCCGGGAATTCCAGTCGGACTCCGACAGGAATAAACTCACCACTAAAAAATCCAAGAAGTTCTAGCGACCCAACTGTATTTCTATCGACAGCCTAGCCAGAAATGAAGAGCACTAACCTTAAATTATTGATTTGGAACTTTTATTCGTATAGTTTTAAATTCCAAATAAATTGTAGAAAAAAATCTGAAAAAAAAATCAAATAAAGAAATGCGATTCATTAATTTTTTTTTTAAGACTCTTTTTAGATTCTTTTTTTATTTTTTTTTTCATTGGTGAATGATATGAAAATATTCTCTCATATCGTAAAAGGTTGGAACCTAAGGAGATTATTTTCGTTCAACGATCTACGAAGCGGTGAACAAGGAAGGACAAATTAAGGGTCGAATTTTGGTTGGTCCTTTATGTTTATCTGTAAAATGTTTCGATTTTAGCAGAGATAACTGATAAATTATCGATAAGATTTATTGTAAAAACCTGTTGTTTGATGACTCATTTTTTGAAGAGTAGTTGGTTTTCACCACTAATATGTTATTTGTCTTCTTTTTCTTAAACCACTCATCAGTTTCGTTATATAGCTATTAGCTATTAGCGTGAGATGCTTTCACCAGAGAGCCATTTGAGAGTACAGAATTGAGTACAGGTTAGTTCTGTTCTCAAGGGATAGGAATCGATTCCATTGTGGCTTCACTTTAGTCAAAACCATAATATTCCACTGTATTCTTATGATTTAAATTGGTACTTTCACTTTAATTTTAATCCAGTTTTTTACGTTCTTTAAAATTAAAGTCCATTAATATTTTTGTAGAATATTATTTGAATTTACCAAAAAAGCTTTTACACTATTCATTCAATATTCAATATTTATATCAAAAAAATTCTTTCAATATGAATCAGTTAAATCATAAAATAAACATTTGATGATTTTGACAATTATTTTTTAATAAATTTTTATACTGCATTAGAAACGATCTGTTTAACTTAATATCTCGTTTTCCTGAGTTTTGTGGACATTTCCTTCTCGCTGGATTGCGAGAAACTGAGAAATAACGTTGCTTACGGTATATGGATGTGGCTGATTAATTGATCAGTATTCTGCAGACTTTGGTTATCTAGAAAATGAGGAAGAAAATGCCAAAAATTTGATATTTTTTAAGTTTAATCATTCGGTGAAATGTATGAAATGTACACAAATAAATAATAAGTTTTTTTTCATATCATTTTTAATTTTGTCTTTTCTATTTTGTAAACGGAATTGCTGTTAATTTAACATGAAAACCATATTTTACGTTCTTTATTATCTTTTTTTATGAATATGGCCATTGATGCTTGAAAATACTTAAGTGGAGTCAACTTAACCAGTAACGGGGCATTATTTATAATAGTAGGTATTCAAAAGTTTAAAGTCAATAAAACTCTCGGAGAAGATGTTCTTCGGACCGAAATCTTCAAATATTGTCCATCATTCTTCATATCATATCTTTTTTACTCTCTGGCATGGAAGAAGGAAATACGCTTCTGGGAAAACTTTTCGCTTTCCTTCTACTGAATAGATTTACGGCAATGCGAGACATGATGACCTAATTGGATTGAGATCGGAACGCGGTTGTACTGACCAATTCATCTCAAGAAAGCAAAATCGCTTCAAATATTGGCAACCAATATTCATTTATTTATTGATTTTCTTCGAGTTGAATGGCGCTCTGGAGGATGATGGAATAAAATATGATAAGTATTTCAGAGATAATTCGTGAAGACATTTTACTTAAGTGCACTGGCATATATGTGTGGGGGCTGAAAAATACTTTCGAAAAAAACTGCTGATGTGAAAGTACGAGCTTAGTCCAGAGGATAATATCACAGATCTTGAATACGTTGATCTCATTATCTCATTATCTTACTAGCGAACAATTAAGATGCATATGTATAGTGAAATGCCAGATAAAGTAGAAAGTATATGAACAATTGCAGCAAATCGGATTCAGTATTAATAAAGAAGAAACTTTTTACTTTTTTCGTGTTATATACCTCAGACTCTAACAAAATATCAATTTTTATCAATTCATCGTCTGTTGAGCCAGTGCCAGAATTTAAAAATCTTTAATCCTAAGCAAAAGATGGAATCATAACCCGGATTATGGTAGCTAGAAATATTCTTTCGGTTGACAAAAGCTTTGTGCAGCCATTAGGAAATTATCATCAAAACGAAAGATTACCTTTACATAGCTACAGTTCGCTCGATCTTCTTATATGGCTGCGAGACATGGAAGTGAGAGTGGAACATATTAAAAAAATATCTATCTTTGACCGCTCATATCTAGGTTATATTTCAGTTCAGTGAGCTGATAAAATCTCATAATTACATCTACCTTCGTTCAGATACCACCTCCAGTAACAATACCATTATAAAGCGTCGCTTTTGCTGGTCAGGACTTTCTTCGTCGCTCATCACAGGAATGGACATATATTTCGTTACTTGTTGATATTAAATCAATACATACAGTCAGAAAAAATTTTGAAAGGTGAAGGAATGGCTTCTATTACTATCAGATGGCACTGGATCGAACAACGTCTTATTCTTGTAGCTAGCCAGTCTGACCAATAATGAGCTGTTGGAAAAAAATTTTGTTTATTTGAAAGCAGAAAATAAGAATTATTGAAAATTATTGATGTTATTAAACAGGTGTTTATCAATTCATTAAACAATAAATATTAAATAATATGGAAATATGCAAAACTTTTTCTTAAAACGAAAAAAAAATAACTCTAAAAGTTTAAAGTTAAAAAATTTGAACGATTTTAGCAAATGGATTCGGCTACAACAAATTTTCGCCAAGTTTCGGTAACGAATAATGCTGGAAAAAGCATATTTACATTACCTAAACGGTATACAAATATTAGATTTCTTAGTGCTGGAGCTCAAGGAATTGTTATGTTAGTTGTTTTTACGAACATTATTACCATTATTACCATCATTATTAATATTATTCATAAGTATAGGTATACGAAAAATTTTTAAATTTTTAAATCAGGGCTATTAAAATTTCATATGCTTTTATGATGAAATTTCCGTTATTTCTTAAAATTCTTGATGGAATCATTGAGTTCAGTCGTGAAGCGAACAAAATATTGCATTGACCATCAATTAGATAGGTGATTAGCGCTTATCATTTCTGGTTAGGCTAGCTATTCGTACAGTGCGAATTTGCCAAGAAGTCAAAGAAATGAAGCTGGTCAACAGCAATATCCTCATTTATTTGTTGATAGGTTTGATCATTTTGGAGGAGAGGAAGAGTTGTTGGATCGATAATATCGAATTTTCGTAATTTTTATGAGCGCGATAGGAAGTGCATAAGTTAGTAATCCTTTTCGCATGAGGTTGTGACCTCTTATATCTTCAATTGCATCAAAATCGAACTTGGGATCGAAAAACTTTTACTAGAGCCTAATATTCTAATCAATTCATCGCAGATGTCAATACTTTAAATATTTTGGATCCACTTTTTGCTAAATGACCAAGCGGAAGACGAGATTGCAACCCGCAAATGCATTTTCGAATTGACGGAAAGTCATCATCAAAATTCTTGTGTATCTGGTTGCAATAAGCTGCAAAGCATGGCGAGTGAAATTTGAAGATAATAAAAAGCTATTTACCTTTTACCACACTAAGACACATTTTATAAGTTCGCCGAGTGGATAAAATCTCATTATCTTCCCTCAAAAGCCATCTGCATTAATAATATCGTCACAGAATATACTGACACTATTTTCTTCGCAGGAACTGATGCAAATCTCATTATTTGCTAAATCCTGTTATGAATAGCATCAAAAGCAAAGAGGAACAATCAAATTTGGACTGAATAAAGACTCAAGAAAGATTTCGGACCTATAGGCAGGCAGCTCAGCGATATGTGGGTTGAAAAAGGAATAATCTCTGATACGGCATTAGAGGAAGTGCTCTGGAAATGCCACCCTTGTAGTTAGTGGAACTAAATTAACTAGTAACAGTGCGAGCTGTTAGAAAAGAAAGCAGAAAGAGAATTCAAATTTTTCATACTATACAAAAGAAAATAATTTAACAGTAGTTAATGGAATTGGTATAGAATGGCTCAGTGGGTTATTGCTCGATTGGGAGCGCCGATGGCGACTTACCTATATTTCTATCGCCAAGGCACTCCATGGCATATTGCTCAATGTGACAAGCCAGTGGTGAGAGTTTAGCCAGCAATGGTGAGGACTCATTAAAAAAAAAAGTAACTGAAGAGAGAGAATAAACAAACATTTTTTGATATTTTTTAAAATCAAAAACATCGGATGATATTTCTGATATTTAGAATTTATCAGCGTTCAAACACATCAGTAAACAATATAGATTTGAAATAATATTTCACTTCACAAACAACACATAGCTAAAATTATAGTATTTTTTAGAAAATCTTAGTACGAACTTTAAATTGACTATTAAAATAGAGAAACAAATATAATATAAATATAAAACTTTTAGCAAGGCTGATGATGTATTAACGAAGAAAACTTTTGCGATAAAGAAAATAGTACATCCATTCTTGACAACGGTAAATGCCAAACGAACTTATCGTGAATTTATACTTCTTACAACAATGAAACATCCAAACGTAAAAATTTTACATTTATAGTTTGAGATGCAGAATTACAATTTTTCGTTGGAAATAAAATATCAAGAAATCGAATTAATGGAAACGTATCCAGATAGAGATATAATTACAAGCAAAGACATCTAAAGTAGAGTATCCACAAAAAAAGGTAGCCGGAACATCCACTGGGAGCATCTGGAGATAGGAATTTTAATATTAATAATATTTTAATATTAATTTTAATGTTAATAAATATTTTTAATATTTATTTTCAATAAAAAACATTAAAGATTTTTTTAAAAATAATAAAATGGTCATTTTCTGTTTGTAAATTTTAGATCATAAACTTAGAAAGTGCGTTCACACCGCAGCATTCGATAATTGATTTCGAAGAAATCTACTTTGTAATGGAATTTATGAATTATAATCTAGCACAAGTTATTCGACAGTTAAAACTTGACCAACAAAATCTTTCTTACTTTACTTATCAACTAATTGTCGCTATCAAATATATGCATCGAAGTGGAATTATACATAGAGTAAGATTACTCGTTACTTTTTCAAACATATTGTATAGTGGAAAATGATAATTCGAAAAAATTTAAGCCTAAAAATTTTAAAAATTTTTTGAAGGAAAAAGCTGTAAAATGAAAAATTACTAAGTGATTAGCATTTCTGATTCGTTCCACCATTGTCAATACGGCGAAATATATACCAGAAATTCAGTTACTTTGTGATGAAAGTGACTCTATGGTGAAAGGGTCATATTCTTAATATTCTTTCTTAATATGGCGTTCGCGTCTTCTGACGCATATGATAATTCCAGTCCGGTGGTACATGCGATAAGTATACAATCCTGGCGTAAAACAATCCCAAGGCTGACAAATAAAATGTGCTCGCAAAGCCAGGGTAATTGCTCGAAATCCATCAATAGAAACAGCTCTGCACGCGTGGCGAGGTTTTAGCCGTATCAGCGTGGAATGTTAGAGCGTTTATGGACGTTGCAAACCAAGTGATTACAGTCCACACCCTTTCTAAATATCATGTAGATATTGCTTGCTTGTCGAAGGTTCGTTTTTTCCTTATTTCGGGTCTCGAACGATTAATCCTGGCTCGGAGCAGAGTTACTTGCTGTGGTGCTTCGGATAACTCGGGGCGAAATGGCATAGCGATTCTGACAAAGCCCATTGCGCTTTGACTGAGTGGAAACCGGTAAGCGATCGTATGCCCGTTTTAAGAGTAAGTTCTGCAATATTTCAGTCATCAGTGTCTATGCTCCAAATCTGTCGGTAGATGACCGTGATTAAGATAAGTTCTATGCGGACCTTCAACTGCTAACGAAGTCTCTACCAAAACATTACTTCATTACTTGGTCATAGTCAGGGGAGAATGGAATGCTCGCGTAGGTCATAATGTCTCTGCGATGACCTGTACAATTGGCAAATATGGCATCGGAGACCGGTGCGCCAATGGGGGATGCCTTCTTCGTTATGCCGAAGAGCATTAACTTTTTATACTTGCTTTCGGCATCGTAGAAAACATCTAGATACGTGGAATTCCCCGGATAACCAATACTTCAACCAGATTATTTATCGTATTATTGTTGGAAGAGTTCCATACTAGATAGTCGCTCCTACCGCAACGCTAAAACATACAAATAAAAAAATAATAAAAATAATAATAAAACATACAAACATACAAATATTCATGAATCTGACCATTTTATGGTCCAGGCCAAGATCCGCATAAATTTGACAACTTCTCCAAGATCCTTCAACTATCTAAATAGTTCGTGGACAGTGAGCAAATTTCAAAGTGAATTATTGGAGAATTTCTGTAGTACAAATGATTTCTCTGGAACGGCAAATGAATATTGATCCAAACTATAGGAATGTCTCCGAAAGTCAGCCACTTTCACACTAGGACATACTAGTAGGAAGTGAGGTTAGTTGGGTATCGGAGGCAACTGTCTAACTGTCTGAAAAAGCTGCCAAAGCACGAATGTTAGGTGATCCTAACTACCGGATGCTTCGAAGATTTGTAACGAAAGTAGCATGGCGGGATAGAAATCACTATTGGAGTGACATGGCTTTGAAAATGGATGCGGCTGATTAGGCGATAATAGGAAACTATTCCACCTTCTTGATAATGAAATTATAACTCGCTGAAATGGTAAGGGATAGCAGTGGCGTGCTGGTTAAGAATATTAAAGACCACCTGATAAGATGGAAGAAATTCTTAAGGGAGGGGGGGGGGGGCCAAACTTAACCAAGAAGCGCCATTTGTTGCGCCTGATATAGCTGATACGTTTGCCGAACCACATGCTTGCAATTGCGAGCTTCCAACAGAAGAAGAAATATCCGTTATCCATATGCTTAAGGCCAATAAGATTCTTAAAGAAGATGGTTTTTGGGCTGAACTCTTCAAATGTTGTTCATCGTCCTTCATAAGGCATCTTCAGCAAATGTACTCTTAGGTATGGAAAAAATAAATATTACCAGATGATCGGAGAAAAGCAATTCTGCTCCCAATTCTCAAGAAAGATGACAGGATATACTGCGATATCGAAGAATCAGCCTACTAGATGTCTCATCGAAAATTTTTGCTGCCCTTTTATTCAACAGACTTATGGAAGTACGGGACAGCAGGATGCGTCCTAATCAAACTCGGTTGAGACCGGGGCGCAGTTGTGCTGACAAGATATTCACGTTAAGAAGGGTGTTGGAACATCTCTTCAGATATTTGCAACCCCTCTGTCACGTGTTTTATCGACTTTGCGGTTGCCTTTAATTTATTTGATAGAGCAGCGTTTTGGTGGATAGCGCACCAGTGTTCCAGAGAAGATCATTCGACTCAAAAAGGCATTTTATTTTATGAACGTACATTGGCACAGGTATATATATATGGGGAACTCTCCTTCGAAATAAGAAGTGGTGCCCGTCAAGGTTGTATCCTTTTCTCTATGGACTGGATAATGGACACTGCTTGTCGGCACTCAAGAAGTATCCAAATCAGTCCCAGAGCATCGTATCACAAATCTTGAATACGCTGATGATGTACCCCTTTTTGTTGATAGTTATAACGAAATGCAAATAATGCTGAATAACATGTCAACAAGTGCAACGAGAATCGGATCAATGTAAGTAATAAGCTTTTTTTTCTTATATACAAGGAGTTGATAAAATACCTCTTTTTATAAATTCATTGCCGGTTGAGGAAGTGCACGATTTTAAATACCTTAGGTCCATTCTAATAACAAATTGCCAGGCAAAAGATGATATTACAACCATGATCTAGAAATGTGTTCTTCCGGTTGGCGAAACCTTTATGGAACCATCGTTAAACCATAAAAATGAAATCTATGTAGCCGTAATTCGTTCGATGTTGATATGTGGCTGGGAGTCATGGCCAACGAGAGTGGAGAATATTAAGAAGTTATCTGCTGCCTTTGACCACTCTTGTCTAAGGTACTTTACGGGTCCGTCGAGCAGATAAAATATCACATGATCATATCCACCTTCGTTCAAATACCACTTGCTTAAATAATGTTATCACAGAGCGTAGCCTTCGCTGGTTAAGTCACGTTCTCTGTCATCCACCACAGGAGTTGGCGCATATTTCTTTACTTGCTAAACTTTATTGTGTGATGGATGGCATCAAAAACGAGGTGAGCCAATCAAGACCTGGACTAAAACGGTCAGGAAAGATTTTGAACGTATAAGTGAACCAACAATATACTTAGACGATGGAAAAAAAGAATGGTTTTCTATCACTGACGATGGCATCAGACCTTGCTGCTTGGAAATTCTTGTCCTTATAACCCTTGGAACCAGCCTAACCAGTAATGGCGAGAGCTGTTAGAAGATGAAAATGCAAGATCCAGGATAGCCAGCCCCTTGGGTTTTTTAGATTTTAGGAGGCAGGATCTGATTCCTAACGACAATTTATCATCTCGCCTATCCTGAGTAAACTGTTAAGAACAATCAATATTAATTTCATCTTATAAAAACTATTTATTGCTGCAGGATTTGAAACCAACTAATATAGTTGTCAATGATAAATGTGTATTAAAAGTATTAGATTTTGGATTAGCAAGAAAAATGGAAACAACTGAAAGAATGTCAATGTATGTTGTTACGCGACATTACAGAGCACCAGAAATTATTCTCGGTTTACCTTATACTGAAAAAGGTTATTAAAAGAGTTTCGAAAATTCCTAAAGGTCTTTTGACCTTTTGATATGTTCATCAACCAATTTTATTTATTTTTTTTATTTATTTATTTATTTTATTTATTTATTTTTAATAATTAAATCACTTAACGAATTTCTAAAAGTTCAATCACTTAATAATAATTTATATTAATTTAGATTTATATTAGATAATTTGAATTAATATTAATACAAGAAATTCTATATGCTTTTAAATAAAAATATGAAAATAATGAAGTAAAAGCAGAGATATAGAATTAAATACAGAATTAATTAAAAAGGAATTTAAAAAAATTCCTTTGGTCTAGTTGATATAATTACAGTTTATTGCTGCGAGCGCTTATTGTCTTGCAAAGAAAAATGAGAGATATCAACCACACTACAGTGTATTTCGAATAAAATTATAGATTATGGTAATTATGCAGAAAATCCAGAAAAAAGCTACGCAAATCTGATAGCTTAGAATCAACTGAAGCATGCATTGCGCATGAAGAATTCCAGTGGTTAAAAAACAGCAAATTAAACTCCATTTTCCTTATTTAAAATCAAATCTTGTTTCAACTCGCTTTTCTTCTCTCCAACATGAAATTCTTTTTCTTATTAGTTAGGCCGACTCCGTTGGCTATAAGGGTAAAACGTCTCTAAGCAAAATAAGAAAAAATTGGTTTAAAATAAGGAATGCTAGTAAGAATGTCGAAAAAAAATTAATTATTATTATTAACCATAAAAAACAATGCAAATATATAAGAATTATGCAAAATAATGCTTTTAGTTTGAAATATAATTTAAGAAAAAAAATTTAAAAAAATAATTTTAATTAATGAAAACATATGTATTTTTGTAATTTAATTCCGTACCGAGAGATTTCATGAAATTTCATATTATTTTATGAAAAAGGTGATAATATATATAGAGGTGATAATATATTCTCATTCGTTTTTATTTTTGATTGCGATATGAAACACCGTTGTACCTATCAGTGAGGCTTAGGTGAGGCAATTTTTCTTAAATAAAATTTGTAAATTTGTAAATTTAGTGGATGTTTGGGCAATTGGGTGCATCCTGGCTGAAATGATTCTTCAGAAGATTCTTTTCCCAGGCACTGATAGAATAGATCAGTGGAGCAAAATAACTAATATTCTTGGCAGTCCGCCTAAAGAATTTATAAACAGGTTCAATTCATTCATGCTTACTTTTTGCGTCTTAAATAGTGAAGCTCAGAGGATACTAATTGTGTTTATGGCACGTGCAAAATGGTCCTTGGCTGCCTTTTTGCCATTTTGCCAGCTACAAACATGAAGAGCAATTGCGTGTCTTTTCATTTAAAAAACAATTCAAGTTTTAAATATTTTAAATATTTATAGATTAGAATCGAACACGCAGAAATTCGTAAAAAATAAAGGAAATATAAATGCAATACCGATGGATATATTATTTCCTGACGAACTTTTCATTGGTAAATATCCAAATGCACCACTAATTAATCGTAATTTTTTAACATTGTTAATAGAATTTTATTCGAATTGCCGCAAAATTTTTAAATAGTTTTTTCAATTTTCAATAATTTTTAATGGCTTTTCACAAAACAGTGATTTTTTCATTTTTTTTTTAATGCGATTTTTAATAAGGATTTTATAATTTAGCGAGTAATGCAAGAGATTTGCTGACGAAAATGCTCAAAATTGATCCAAATGAACGAATAAGCCTAGATGAAGCAGTTCAGCATCCCTATATTCATATATGGTTTGCGGAAAGTGAATGGAATGCACCATTACCACAAAATCGTTACGATATTGAAAATGATTTAATGGATCGACCCATAGAGCAGTGGCGAGGTTAATAATAGTTTTAATAATAATAGGCGAGAGAAACCAAAAATTTATTATTTTTAATCTTTAAGCTAGAAATTCGGACCGTATCTGAGACTAAACTTATTAAAAAATCTAAGTAGTACCATTTGTACTTCTGTTCACAAGTGGCAAATTTCTCGTATTAAAATAATAGAATAGTCATGTTAAAATAAAACAGTAGAGTGAGCCTAACCAAAAATTGATGATTGCTACTTATTTAATTACATTACTTTTAGTAGACAGATAAAACTAGAAATTATTCTTTAATATACAGTAAAAATTTCAGAATTATTGTACAACGAAGTGAAACAATTTGAAAGGAATCATGAAGTGCATGGTTAATTGAATGTGTGGTAATATTTTTGGAATGGAATTTTGTCGACTTGAATTGTCAATAATTTAATTTCCATTTGATTGCCATTTTCTTTAGAAAGTTTTTCTTAGGAATTAGGCAAATTCTTAAGCAAATTTTGCGTTATTATAATCCAACTTTTTAAATAAATTTAGCAATAACATACTGAAATATTATAATTCCAAAAATTTACGACGATTCATTCGATAAATAATAATAACCACGAAAATTTTTTCTGGCTTGTTCTTTGCTATATAAATGTGACCCGAATATATGGTTTTCTGGATAGTTTAGTTTGCTCAACTGCGTTGGAATTTTCTGATAAAAATTTAATATTATTGCTTGATGTAATTAAATTTGATGATTTACTTAATCATTGTTGCCTTGATTTTTAAGAAAGAATTCTTCGCTATTGTATTTAAACTTTCTTGGAAATAGAAAATATTTTCAAAAATAAATACGAAATTCTTTAGGAAAATTCTTTTTTTTAAAGTAATTTATTGGTGTAAATTGATTCTTTAAATTCCCAGATGAAATTGCTTGAATTTTATCAGATTAAACTGAAATGAATTAAACTACTGGAAAATGCAAAAACATTTTATGGTTAATAAGAACAATAATAATTAGTAATAAAAAGAATGATGATAATGGCTTTAATAATAATTAGTAACAATAATAACAATAATAAATAATAATAAATGTGGTTCGGCGGTTTGAATTAAAAAGCTGATTGGTCTGAACATCCACCAGCATTTCGAATTAACTCGCTGGCCAAATTCTCGCCCAACAAATGGCCAATGAAGTGAGCTTAATCAAAACAAGGTGAATGTTAGCCACCTGCTTGTTATGTTTTTTCTTTTTAAACCTATTTAAACTTTGTCAGCGATATAAGTGATATACTCAAATTTATTTTATATTTTTCATATTTACTGTAAAAATTTTGTGGTATAAGTAGTGAATAAAATAATAAAAAAAAACTCTCCTTAGAAATTTTTAATTATCGATAATTGGGCAAAAGGTAGTCCTTCTTTATTCAACAGATTCATTATGAAAATATTCACATCAATCGTGCTAACAAAGTTTGTTTCCATTCTGATTTGTTAGTAATGGCACTTAATGAATCTTTTTAATATTTTAAAGCTTGCTTTCGATAAAATTTCATGCATTGTTTTAAATATTTTTTGCAAAAGATGTGCAAGAAATTATTTAAAAATCTATATATATATCTATAAATAAATCTATAAATTTAAAAATCTGAATCCATTTTTAGGCAACAAAAAAAAATTTGCTTAACGAAAAAACACACCGGATTGACGAAAACCAGAAAACCTCCAAACTGGAATTGTATAGACGAAATCATTTTTTGTTTGATAAATGTTGTGATAAGTGTTTTGTGGTGATAAAGGATGCTAAAGTGTTTTGTCGTGTTAACAACATTTCTTATGATTTGCTACGCTTATCATCGTAAGTTTGACTTTTATTTGCAGATTTTATCTCGAGTCTTAGTCATAAAGTTAAATAAGTTATGCTAAACACAAGGTATGATTTACCTATGATCATGATTGTGAAAATCATAAGCAATTAGTTGAGGTTCCATGGTCACTCAAATTTACTAATCTCCACCGAAAATTTTAAAAAATTTGTACGTAATAGATCATGAGCATTATTTTCTTTCTACCAAAGGCATTAGCTGGTTGCCTTCATACTTAATCACGCTTTTATTCTCAATGAACCTACGCTGCTTGTGATCTTAATGAAAAGAAAATGCCAATTAACCTTTAAGTATATATAATATAAACTTGAAAGTGAAAATATTTTAGAATTCCGCAAACTTGTTTGTTTAACAAAAGATCGTTCATTCAAATATGGCAGTGAGGTAGCGAAATGTCATTTGGTTTTAAAGGATGAAGAAGATGAACCAGGAAGGAGAGCATCAGATAATACTGGTTGTTTTAAGGTTTCTGGTTTTCTTCTTATAAAAATGTAATAAACATTATTGTAATTATTAAATGCCTGCAACTAAATGTAAAATATAATGTTTGCCAATTTAAAAACTATTTTAGAAGCGATTCAATGCATCAGTAGAACGAGTTTATTGTGACATATTTTGTCCAGGAGCTTATGAGGTAAACTTTTTGTTAAAATTTAATAATTTTTCTAAGCATTTTTCTTGCCAAGGGCAGAAGAAGAGTTTTAATCCTACTTCTGACAAGAGTAAAATTACCAATAAAAATCATGTTAACAATCAAAATCAGCGTAACAAATGGTGAGCTCCAACCATTTATATTATTTATTACTAGAGAAATGCTTGCATGAAAGAAATCACTTCATTGTCTATCATGATCTCATGCTAGGGCAGCATGGGCAACTGGGTCAAATTATCATAGATTTGATTTTTATATCTTGACGAGAATATCGTGAAATATGAGCGATGCTGGAAGTTCGACTATACTTTTACAATCAAATGGCTCCCTGGCAAAGTGATCCACCTTATTAATTAGTGTAGACATCTAAACTGGAAGTGGCATGTACTGCTAAATGGGCGGAGGAAAATCAGATAGATAGAAAAAATTTAATTTTTTTCATTTTGATGACATATGTCATCGTTGTTATTTACAGGTATTCCATTCTGCATTCGATCTTTTCCACAAATCGTGTTTTCAGTATCATAACTATCAACTCAGTGAACAGAACGAAAACTGGTCAAAATTTATTTTTTATTAAATTTGTCGGCATCGCTTAATTTCGCAGAATTTCATTTTCAGATTAACTTAGTAACTGAATAATAATTTGAATAGCAAACTATGATTTCGTATGATCTGCAGGTACATTTGGAGATCCGATCGATGTCTTAATTCAACAGCAACTTTTTCCTTCGGTTGTAAATTTAATGAAGCTTTTAAAAAAAAGTTTCCTTCCGACCAAGAAATGTTCAAAAAATTTCAGGATCATCGGTTCATTTCTTAAATTCCTTCCTTTCAATTTAATTAGTGTTTCATAATAATTGTGATGACAATCTGTACTATACTATTGAATTTTCCTTCGATTTTCTGATACATTTCTTATTTATGGTAAAACTATGGAGTAAATAATTTGTTATCACGGAAACTCTAAACAAAAAACTATAACATGTTTATTTGAATTGGGATAAAAAATTTAAATGAAGCTATCTATATAATATGATTTGAAAGAATAAATCAAATATTGCAAAATTAAATCATCAATCAACGAATTATAAACAAAAGTGCTGTACGAATCCAATTTTCCAAGTTTATATTTTATATTTTTATCAAATTTGGTTTCATCTGAAAGTAGAAATTAAAATGAATTAAAAAAATGAATTATTTGATCTTAAAAATTTAATTTATGAATTACATTGGAGGATGCTTTGCTCCAACTTTAATTTTTGTTTCTAAGTGAATCGCTAGCATTGTGGCGTCTCATCCTAATAATCTGTAGAATAATATCTAAATAATATGAGTCCTCAGGCATTGGAAATATTTTTTTTTTGGCTCTTGCTCGTAACGGCTTATAAAACTTACTATGGCAAAATCATCCAACTGCTCAATACTTTTTGAGATTTCCGTAAAGCTTTGATTATTATAAGCGGCTCGAAGGAATGTTAAACGTTCTTCATAATCATACTGGCAAAGTATTTTATTATCGCATAAATAGTATTTATCACCGATGCAAAATCTAAGATAATTAGTTATTAAATTTAAGTTTTATTGAAGTGTTAGTTTAAACCGAAAAAATTATCTTTTTATGCTTTAGCAAAAATTTCGGCCAGAAATTTTTTATTCAAAATGCTTATTCTTTCGAAATTGGTTAATGCATTTTTGAGGGACATGATGATCGATTGGCAAGTTGTTCCGACTAAGGTCAAACCTTAAAAGTTCTGAAATTCTGTTGGCTCTAGCATTTACTTTATTCTCAGATGGCTCTCTGGCAGCAATAATCAGTAGAGCCGAAGTTTGAGTGCTGCTGAATAAGGAAGGAAGAATTTAAAACAATTTAGATCGAAGAAATGAAAAAAAACTTACTAACCTACTGCTGCAAATTTGACAAGCAAAGCAGTGGAGATGATAAACATTACTTTTCGCTCGCATGACTAGTTCGAATGCTGGGATGTTTTTTTCACATGCGGCACAAATTCCATTAAGTCCGAACAGGCGAAGATAATCTCTCGCACAAAGTATCATACTTTGTTTATAATAAAGTTTTGAACCCAGTTCACCCAAACGACAATTACAACATGTGCACTAAAATTTTCGATTAAATTCCTGACACTCTTGCATAAACTAAACTTTTGATTTAAACTTTAAATTTCAAAATTTTAATTTGTTTTTTTCTTAGATTTTTCGCTAAGAAAAAAATTTCCATGCGATATATCAGAATTTATATATTAGATTTGTCATTTTTCCTGAAAGAATTAGATTTAGCAAATAGTTTTAAAAAAAGTTGAATTTAGGCAAAGATATCATTTGATTCCTGAAAAATTCAAAAACCTGGGACAAAAATGATCACAGTCGCCTTTCATTAGACACCCAAATTGATGAATGCCTCGATGGACTTAAACGTCAAATAAAGCTTGAACAGTAAACAGTAATTTATTTATTTATTTGGAAGATCAGTAATTTATTCAAGTTGAGCAATAGCCAGTCACTTATGTTGATAATAAGAACCATTAACATATTTTGGTATGAAGACAGAAAAGAAGAATAAATCATCAATTAAATTAATATTAACATTAAATAACGAGAAAATAACGGATTGCTTCATTCATCGAAATTAATGGCACCACTCTTTCTGATTTCTCTGAATACTATTTTCCTAGAAATTATTTTCGACTTCCTCATAATTAAGAAGTTAATTGCAGTGATTAGGGTAATGAGATTGGATCCTCTAGTAAATCAGTAGTTCCGAAAAAAATTCACTTAGAAACCTATAAATAATGATTATCTGATAGCTTATTCAGCGCTGTTTATTTGGAAACATTACTCAAGCAAAACCAAAGCGCAAGAAATAGTAAGCAATATGCAATAAAATAAAATTGTAAAAATTACAATAGGAGATTTCTTTATAAGCTAAAATTACGAATGAAACTAAACAAAGGATGATTTTGCTTAATTAGCTTTAGAGCTAGAATAGAATAGTGGATAATAGCTCAGATTATAGCGTTGAAAAGCAACGGTTCGGTTCCTGCAGAAATGAATCATTAGAATTGAGTATGCAGGACATATTTGCATCGCTATGCGACTCCATGACAAAACCATATTTTCAATCATAATAATCTGTGCAGCTAGCCTAGCCAGAAATAATGAGCGCTAACCACTTACTCTCGGAAGGTAGAAATGAAATAAGAACCACGCTAGGATCACTAAATAATTAGTTCCAGCAGTTGATGAAATTGAAAAGTTATCGGAAATTTAATAAAAATTCTTTCGAAAGAAAGAAACTTACTTTCAAACAATCTTCATGCCAAAATTTTCCCAAAGCTTTTAGCATAAATCGATCAACGATTTGTGAAGAACAAGCAGCACAAATTATATCCATCGATTTATTATTATATTATAATTGTTATTATTAATATTATTAATGAATAATACATTTATTTATTTACTTATTTAATTGCCTGTAAAATTTCATTTGAAAGAATTCACTTGTAATTAAGTGAACTTTCACTTTATATCTCAAATCGAAATTAAAAATATGCAATTATTTATTCTATGAAACGAATCTAATGAATAATTAATAGCGAAGTGACTAATAGCGAAATGTAAAATAAATATATCGTAAACGTGTCGCTTATAAAAGTTCCATTTCCCTCCCTAATTAACCATATTTCCCATTCCTCCAGCTTAAGCCGTCTTTTGGAGTATCGCAATTGGTTTAAAATCAGCATTTATGATTTTTTTACGGCAAATTCTCAAGTAAATAAATAAATAAGTAACAACAGTAATTAGCATCTTTTTTTCCGATGCCTTTTTTTATAGTAATAACTTTAATACTTTATTTAATAATAAAATATGAAGGCAACGAGATAAAATTCGATTAAAATATACGAGCATACATTCTTTTTTATTCCCACGAGAATTTTGAATTAATATAAGTAGTTTTCGCACGCATAGTTCCCTCTTTTCACTGGTTTACACAAAAATTAAAAATTTCTGTCTCCAACTATACAACAGTACCAACGAAATAATAAAATGTAAATGGCAGAATAGCCGAGTGCTTACATGATCGCTCGCTCACATGCGTCATGGTTCCTACTTTCTAGATTGTTAGCGATTTTCCCTACGAGAGAAGTGAGCCTGTCATTCTTAATGAGCTCAGGTGCCGGTTGAACCATTTTCACTTCTGCTGCCACGTGATTCCTCGGCGAAATTGCTATAGTTGCGATTAAAAATACGATTTAATTAAACGGAATTTTAAAACAAAGCTGAATTATAATCTTCAGTTGTTCCTTTCGCTTCAGATTTCTTGAATTCAAACAAATAAATAAATATACAATAGGTATAAAGTTATGTCAAATTTTTAGAATTTCCAAAGCTATGCACAATTAATCTCTTAGATGGCTTTTTATAAAGTTTTTTATTGTATTATCCAAATGACTTGAGTGATATGTCGATCAAACCATTAAAATTTGTGATAATCTGCATCTATTTTCCGATGCTTTTTCATAGTGATAACTTTAATATTTTGTTTAATAATAAAATATGAAGGCAAGGCATGCAAACTGCTCGTCGATGCTGCTCATATTCTCTTAAAAAGGCCCTTTGTACAGGCCATATATATACTTTCATTTAAGTTCTATTCATAATCAACAGAATTTTGATCATTTTTATGGAAAAGCTTTACTACTAAATTTTTTAATAAATAACTTTAAATAAATGAATGAATTTTTTAAGTTAACATTTTCCCTTAAATTTTCAATTTTTACAGAAATAATTTATAAAAATCTTTTCTGTAAATCTTGCTGTAAATATTTTTTATAAAAATTTTCGATAATATTTATTGAACTGTGATTTCTATTAATTATATGAATGCAAGAAGTGCAAAGTTTGCTTCTGCTATAATATTTTAAAAAACTTGTTGAATGATGCGGAAGTTACAATGCTAACAGTTATATCTGGCAACCTACAGATAAAATGCTAATTTTAGTATGTGGCTGACCGAATAGCAAGTAACTGCGGCTAAGTGCACCTTGCATCATTTTCTTTCAATACTCCACCAAGTTCTTTTTCCAGAATCCATTATCAAAGCACTCCTGCCCCAACTTGGTCTATTCAGACTCCACTGTAGCCACTTAAAAATTAACCGCTAATATATTCTCTTATCTTTTAAGATCTCGCCAACTCATTTCGCATTTTTGTCTTCTATGTAGAATGTAAAATCTAAACTAGTAAACTGTAAAATCGATGATAACATTGGGCGACTGAGAGGTATTGATTGACGGGGGGAAAGCGTTTAATAATCAATGAAGGACAACGAAATTAATAAAATAAATAAATAAAAGAATAATAAATAAAAATAAATAAATATTAATAAATAAAAGAAACTAAAAAAATAAAATTAATAATTATAAGAGAGAAGATTTATAAAATTCCTATGTATATTTTATATAATGCATTCAATCGAAGTTTAATTAAAATAAGAAGATAAGAAAATCTCAAAAAATATTGGAAATTGAAAGAGAATTATTGTTGACTTATCGGATCAGATTATCAAATTCATTTTCTTTCATTTGGCGATGACTAAATTAGATCCAGTTTAGTTCCAATCGATAATTTATTAGAAATGTCACAATTTAGATTAGTTAAAGCCATTTTTTGACCACAAAGATATAGATTCCGGAATTTGCAAGGAATATATCTCTATTTTTATTCATAAGTGGCTAAGATGTTATATTATCTTTTTATCCTCTAAAACCTGTCATATTTTCTGGAAAAAATTCTCCTCACCCAAAAACATTGTATGTATTAGTAACGTCTTAAATCCCTTTTAACTTCTCAGGACCAGTTATAGCATCTTTACCGCTTATATTTTATTTACCTACTCCTCGCCAAATTTATCATTATAAATTTCCTCTGAATGTAGAAAATAGAAATAAAATCGCGAAGGTTACTTTACGAAATTCCAGCGGAAGTGGCAGGAGATATTGAAGAGTTATAACGGGAATTGGGGGGAGCTGGGAGGAGAATGCCAGGAGAGATTTAATGATATAAGGAATGAGAATCAGGCTTAACGAGTGCAACAAAAGAATAGCAGGACAGCATTCGAAAAAAGGTGTTAATGGAATATAATGAGACTTCAAAGTTGTCAAGGAAAGAATATAAAGGTTGTCAAGGAATATACCCATGTTCATAGGATGGATGTTTGTAGTGATAAAACCACATTCTTCTACTTGCATTATATAGATTATAAATATTAATAATGGCATTAATAGGCTTTGCTTTAATAATTATCAAGTAAAATTTTGCTTTAATGCGTAAAGGACTAATTAGAACTAATAAAAGGACTAATTAGATAACTAAAATTTTAATTAGCTTCAATCTTTATGATAGCAGTTATCACAAATTTGTTAAGATTGTTAGTTAGTTAATTAGTCGATATTTTCTTAAAGTTAGTCGAAGCGAAAAGAATATAAAAAAGAATATTAGAATGAGGACAAATCCAGCCATTCATTGGTTCAGCGTTTCATGAATCTAGCATATGCACCAAACCAAAAAATTCGCAAAAGAATGGTGCTTCGCTTTATCGCGAGACTGATAATTTTTTAAAAATATTAACTTTAGCTGGTTTATCTGACTAATTCAAAAGATTAAAGAGAACATCCAATATTACTGAAAACACTAAAAGAAATTGCCAGTTAGCTAGCCAGTTTGTGTATATCAGATAAATAATGAAGAAATGAAATGAGTAAAGTTAAGGATCATTAATGATATAGAGAATAACTAAGATCTACGATGATCAGTGAAAATCCGTCTTATTTCTTACCTTCTTCTTACTTACTTATTAGCTAACAATCGTATATAAATTAAATTCTCGACCAAAATCAATGTTTATTAAAATAACAACGGGCAAGACGACGACGATTATACACGCATAAGATTAAAAATTCCTTTATTTTCCAGAATTTCATATTTCCGATCTTTTCAGATAGAGAAAATTTTTTGAAATAATATTATCCTTATTATTGCAACGTATGATTAATTTCGTAAATAATAGAATATTTCCCATTAATTGCAGAAATGATAATAGAAAAAAGCCGGGCAATCCTGATAATCCACTACTACTGTTCCCAAGTGGCTCTATGGTGAAAGGGCTTCATTTCCGTGAAGTAGCAAGTAAAGCTAACCAAACCAGAAATGCTAGGTATTGTTAGAGGAAAAAAAACAACAACTTGCTTGCAAATAGCTTAGAATAAAGGAAATGATATTGGTCAGACTATCTTCACTGGCTATTGGTATTGTCAGAACGTCACCAGCAACAATAATCAAGCCTATGCTTCTCAAAACGATAATCTGAGTTATTATCCATTTGGCCATCCCATACCCAAAATTAAACTGTAAAAAATAACTGTAACAAAGAAAAAAATAACTGAAATAAAATTTTTCATGGAACGAAAAACCATATCATCAGATTGATTCATGATATAATAAAATAACTAAAATATTCAAATTTAAATATTTAAATTTTAAGAAATTCAAAAAAATAAATAGAATGCAAAAAGAATACAAGAAAATAAAAATTGCTAGGCCATCGAAAAACATTTTTCAAATTTATTATCATTCATTTAAAACATATGTTTCGATATAAAATGGTGTATATTATTGCGATTTTTTTTTCCAAACGCATTTCTGGGTTAGGCTCGTTCCATTGGCTTCCAGACAAGACAATTTTTGCTATGGAGTCACTTAGCGATAGGAGTGGATTTCCGAATTTTCTGAAAGTTGATTTATCCCTGCCGATGATAGAACTCTAGCATTGATACTCCGAAATTTCATTCACGATTAACAATAAATAAATAGAGCCGTCTACTCGAAGTAAATATTTTATTTCAGAAATCCATTCCTAAGCTATTAATTTTAAAGTGTTAATGGCTTGGGGAAAATCAGGATTTTCAGGATTTCCTAAATCCAAGGAACAGTTAAAAGGAACAGATGAATATTAAAAAATATGAATATTAAAGCTTATTGCCCAAACACTAGCAACGTGAAACGAACGTTTTAAGTTCATATTTTTGTAATTATTTTTTATTTTACGACTACTTCGCTTCGATACTCCGCAAAATGAATTTAATTTAACCAGTCGTAGACTTGCAAAAGAGATATAATAAATGCAAATCGATCATTAAATATGAAATAGATAGAACATCGCTAAAAAAGGAATTCTTATTTATTGGTTGATTTTTTGCTGATTTAGTTGGAGCGGATAAGCAAGTAAGTTAGCTTTTCCTCAATCATGCCTATTTCCTTCATTGCTCCAATAAAATTTACAAATGTCGAAATGAATGAATGAAAAAAAATCACGTGTGTTAGACAGATTTTAAT